CCTCCACCCATCTTCTTTCTCCTCCTTCTCCCTTTCCTCCCCTTCCCCATTCTCCTTCCCCTCTCCCTCCTTTTCCTTTCCTCCTCCTCCTCCTCCTTCCCTTCATCTCCTTCTCACTCTCTCAACACCGCCGCCTCACACACACTCCAGAAACATTTGTCTCCCAGTCTCTGTTGCCTTGTCCGACTGCCCTTTGCACGATGTGTTGCCTGACGCCCCCGGATTTCTCTTGATTCGTTGTTCCTTTTCACCATTTGTCTAACCTAACCTAACCTAACCTAACCTAACTCTTTTCACTCAATATTTTTCTCATTTTTATTTTTTATTTGCTATTTCATTTTTTTTTACTTATTTTGTCTTCATATTTTCCTCTTCTCATTTTGTTCTCCCTTTTCCCTCTTCTTTTCCTTTCTCCCTTCTTCCTCCTCTTCTCATTTCTCTCCTCCTCCTCTTCTCCTCATTTCTTCCCTCCTCCTCCTCCTCCTCCCCATCCCCCTCTTCTTCCTTCTCCATCCACTTCCTAAATTAAAGGAGTTTATTGAAGGCAACCCAGATAATATTTCTTCCACTAGAGTTTGATCAATAGGAGCGAAATTACCTCCGTTTACCTGTAATCTCAGGTAGCAGGAATACGCCAAAATCTGACAGAACTTGCAGGTCTTATACTACCTCGAGGCATAGCAATAACTTCAGGTCTCGTCAAGATTAGGAAACGCAGCTTATTTCGCCTGAATTGGGGGAGGGGGTTTGGTTAGGTTAGGTTAGGTTAGGTTAGGTTAGGTTAGGTGAGGCTTGGTTTGGTTAGGTTAGGTTAGGTGAGGTTAGGTTAGGTGAGGTTAGGTTTGGTTTGGTTTGGTTTGGTTTGGTTAGGTTAGGTTAGGTTTGGTTTGGTTTGGTTTGGTTTGGTTTGGTTAGGTTTGGTTAGGTTAGGTTTGGTTTGGTTTGGTTTGGTTTGGTTAGGTTAGGTTAGGTTTGGTTTGGTTTGGTTTGGTTTGGTTAGGTTTGGTTAGGGTGTTTAATCATCAGGTGAAATAAGCTACGGTTCTTAATCTTTATGATCTACGTAATTTGACCTCATGAAGTTTATGAAGAAATTTAAATCATTTTTCCTCCACTATATTCCTGCTCAACGAAATGTATTTGCAATAAAAAGAAAGAAAATTATGTGAACTGAAAAACTTAATTATGTAGAAGTGAAATATAAACCAACTGCTATATTTATACATTATTTAAGTGCATAGTAAATTATGTTTATATTAAACTAACATTGTGAGGATTTAGATTTTTAATTAAATTTCTCGAATATTATTATGAACAAAGGATACTTTTTTTTCTTAATTTCATAATAAGTTGTGGATGATTAAACGTTTGTAATATTGTTAAGGATCTCTGTAGTCAAGTTATTAATACCTGGATATATATATCTGATGATCTTAAGACAGTGACGTAAGGTAATTGATTCACCTCCATGTGTTATTGTTTTACCGTTATTGTTTTTTTTCTTGATACTTAATTTTTTCTTCATCTCCCTCAGCTGGTGTCCGACATCAGCCCTCCTCGACTTCTCTACCATCTGTTCACATCTAAAATACTATTCCCGAACCCCGAACCGTCGTGAATCCCGAACTCTGAATCCCGAACTCTGAATCCCGAACTCTGAATCCCGAACTCTGAATCCCGAACTCTGAATCCCGAACCCTGAATCCCGAACCCTGAATCTTTTTTCTCTAATTCTCGAGGCATGAACCACGATCCCTAAAAGTCGAATCCTGATCTTCAAACCGCGAATCCCTAACCTCAGGATTTGGGTGTTCGAGAACTATAGGTTTCACCAAGGGATTCACTGGGTCGAGATTAGGTTTCAAAGATTCGATTGTGGGCTTTAGATCCGACCTTCTCACCCGTCTCCTCTTACCCCTCATCCTCTTCTTCCTCCTCCTCTTCCTCTGCTACGTCCTTTCCCAGCGGTCTCTTTTTCCTGTTCCTCCCCTCACCCTTCCTCTTTTTTTTCCCTTCACTGTCGTTCCTCCCTCCCCCCTTTACTCTCTTTTCCTCTTCTTCTTCATTCTCTTTACTCTCCCCTCTCACCCCCTTGTTCACCCTCTGCTGCTCTCCTGTCTCCCATCATTCCTTCCTGTCTCTGTCTCCTTCCTCTTCCTCCCCTCTTTCCTGTTTTCTCCCGTCGTCATTCCTTCCTGCTCTACCTGCCCACCTCACCTCTCTTCCTCTTCCTAATCTATCATGTTTCCCAGGTAGATCCCTCCACTTTGACCCCACACTCACCCTGTCACCCTATTCTCCCTGTCTCCCTATTCTCCCTGTCTCCCTGTTCATCTTGTCGCCCTATTCTCCCTGTCATCCCCTCGCCCTGTCCATCCTGTCACCCTATTCTCCCTGTCTCTCTGTCAACCCCTCATCCTGGCTGACCCTATCCTCCCTGTGTCAAATTCCCTCAGTGCCACATCTACTCAGTGCCACATCCACTCAGTGCCACATCCCTCAATGCCATCTCCACCCCCCCACCACCATTTTCTTTTACAAGGAACTCAATCATATCCCAGCACTAACCCACATAACAGCACTTAACACTCGTACCGACACCTCATTTTTACAGCCCTTGTCACTCATTCTACAGCACATTATTTACACCACTAACACTCACTTCTCCCTGGGAATAAGATTTGTCTCGTGAAAGAAATAAGTTTAGAGCCTGTCCATAGTGAGTCTCCTGTCATTTGTCTTGTGGCGGTGTTGTGTAGTCTGTAAAACTCCCCCTCCTCTTTTCCTTCCCTTGAGTTTTATCATATTTCTTTGGCTTGGCTTCAGGCGATGGAGTTCCCCCCCACAGGACGCATTTTAGTCTCTTATTGTTCTGCTGGGGGGTTCTGTGTATACGAGTGATGTTGTTGCGTGTGCACTTGGCTGTTGAAGCGTGTGCACTGGGCTGTTGAAGCGTGTGCACTGGGCTGTTGAAGCGTGTGCACTGGGCTGTTGAAGCGTGTAAACAAGGGCTACCAGGAAGCCTTTATAAGAGGGATGACAATAAATTTAAACAGTAGTAATGTTTAAGCAGAGACAAATCATCAATCAATATGTAGTGAGTTGCTGCAGCTGCTACTCTGAAACCCTTGAGTATGACGCTTTAACCTCATGAGTACTATGACTTAACCCCATGAGTACTATGACTTAACCCCATGAGTACTATGACTTAACCCCATGAGTACTATTTCTTAACCCCTTCAGTACGACGACTTAACTTTTTGTGTACAATGATTTAACACTTTGCGTACGATGACTTAATCCTTTGAGTACGACGATTTAACCCCTTGAGTACAATACCCTAACCCTTTGAGTACGAACACTTAAACCCTTCATAACTACAATTTATGTAGCGACGACAACTAAACCCCTTGAGTACGATAACTTAAACCCTTTGAATATGATAATATATTCGCTTGAGTGAGACAACATGATATCCAGAGGGATGAAAAAACACCTTTGGCTGAATGCTCAAATATTCCTACATTATTTTTGTTTTGTCTTAAGTGTAACAGATCGTATTTCCTAATGTTAAGTGTCAGTGTAATTTTGAAGCCATTATTTCTTGTATGTCTTTTGTGCTTCGGTTTAAATGAACTAAGTAGATGAGTTTTTCTATTTTAAGTTAAAGGAGACTTATTAAATTTATGGTGTTATGAGAACTGCATCTCGCTGTTAACACACATTCTCTCCCTCACTTTTCCTCGATCTTTCCTCCTTCCGCCGTTCAATCTCTCTTCTCTCCTCCCTCACTCCCTCCCTCCTTCGCTTCATCTTTTTCCCTCCCAAATCCCCCTTTTTTCCCCTCCATTTCCTCTCTTGCTCTCTCCTCTTCCTCCCCTCTACCCCACCCCATCCTGAAGGAATTAATTTCAGAAGCTGCAATGCAGACACGTTCAGGTCTAAACAAACACACACACACACACACACACACACACTATAGTTCAGCTGCAGGACCAAGCACAATTGTACATATCTGTAAATTGTAATTATTAAACATATTTCTAGGATAAAGTATAAGTACAGTACAAGAGCACCCGAAGGTCAAGATACAGGTACAGACTAAGGAAGAAGTACAGTTAGGACACCTCCCATCTCATTGTGTTACTGACGCTCCTGTATTAGATGACCCCGACACACTACTCCAGTTACAGGGTGTGTATGTATAGGTAGAGCCAGGGAGGGTTTCTGTGCATATAATTAATACGAGAAAGGAAAAGTGGCAGGTGGTGCAATAACGTACGTTGTTTATAAACCACCATGAAAATCATGCCAAGCTTTGTTACCCCACACACCGGCAATAACAGCGTCAGTAGCACAGCGTCACAGGGTTTGCTGCTCAAGTCTGTTCCCGGTGGTGACTTGTGGCCCGTGAATATTTTGTCAGTTGTGAAATATTCAAAAGAAAGCCGCCGTCCTGGGAGCTCTTGTGCTACACCACAGAATTAGGACTCGACTTCAAGTGTAGGTTAGCTTAGGTTAGGTTAGGGTAAGTTAGTTGATAATGATGTTATTAATTAACATATTGTAATAATCAATATGATCGTCCCTATATCATAACCAATTTAAATTTCCAAAAAATGTGTAACTAATTTTGCGACATTTCCTGTTTAGCCTGACATACAGTCCAGTATATGTATATATAATTATGTGTTAATTAAGTTAGTATTGACAGTGAATAATTTCTCATTATAAAAGCAATCATGGACAAGATGCTTAATTATGGGAAACATATCATTATTACGTCCCCACATTAGTTGGCGAACAATGTCGTTTAATAAATAAAAACATCAGGCCGTCCCGCATTATATTACCCAATGGAAGTTTTCCTTGATAATGATCCTCCAGCATTACTTTTGTAAATTACCTTCACAGGTCGTCCGTAGAGGTAATGTGAAAATAACTGCCGAGCGTCAATGTAATTATCGAGGGATAATGTAATCAGCATACTTGTGCTAATGATGCTGAATAAAGGTTCTGAGTGTAATTTTAATCCTGATAATGTTATTTCAGGCTAATGGCAACGACCTACAGATAATGATCTTGTTATTAATTACTTTCGTTGACCGGAATGACATATACATCGTTATAGAGAGGAGAGTTATTTAGTACGACAACACAACCTGGAGTTATATCATTATTTTACTCCACACTTTCCAGAACAACAAAGTGTGATACTACACCTGAGGCGATAATGATCACCAACAGGTAGCTTAAGAGGTGTTGATGTTTACACTGTACCACCACCACACGTGACCTACCACAACTGGTGCTGCACCACAAGTGGCGTTGCACCACAACTGGTGCTGCACCACAACTGGTGCTGCACCACAACTGGTGCTGCACCACAACTGGTGCACCACAACTGGTGCTGCACCACAACTGGTGCTGCACCACAACTGGTGCTGCACCACAACTGGCGTTGCACCACAACTGGTGCTGCACCACAACTGGTGCTGCACCACAACTGGTGCTGCACCACAACTGGTGCTGCTGCACCACAACTGGCGCTGCACCACAACTGGTGCTGCACCACAACTGGCGCTGCACCACAACTGGTGCTGCACCACAACTGGTGCTGCACCACAACTGGTTGCACCACAACTGGCGTTGCACCACAACTGGCGTTGCACCACAACTGGTGCTGCACCACAACTGGTGCTGCACCACAACTGGTGCTGCACCACAACTGGTGCTGCACCACAACTGGTGCTGCACCACAACTGGCGCTGCACCACAACTGGTGCCGCACCACAACTGGCTCTCCAGATTGTGAACATAATGGCACAATAAAGGCAACGACCCGAGGTAAAGAACCTGTTTACCGCAGCAAGTCTGTGTGTGTGTGTGTGTGTGTGTGTACACATTTGTTGTGTACGTATGTGTCTGTCTGTCTGGGTTTGTTTGTATGTGTACAGGAGATTGTTGGGATAGAAGGATACTAGAACAATAATAATAATGATACGGTAATAATAATGATAATAATAATAATAATAATAATAATAATAATAAACTATAAAATATAGATATAAATAATTCAAAATGTACAAAACAAAATACCCCAGGACGAGCAGAAATGTATACAGGATAAACAGGGTGTGGTCGACAGGTGCACCGTCCCGTGGGAAGAAGGGGAGTCCTGAGGCAGGTGTACAGGTGAGCCTACCTCTCGTTGTCTTCTTCTTAACCTTCAGGTACTTGGATACTGAATATCTGCGTACAGGATAATATGATTCTAAAGCAAAACAAAATCGATTTTATTAAGCCACTTGGCCACTATTGTGTTCAAGTTTCCGTTCTGTAGCTCATAAATGACCAAATTATCTCCGGATAACTAAACCAGAGACCGAACGGACCAACTGAGTAATTGGTCTCTGAGAAGGTCTTTTGCCCACCTGGCTCCCGGAGTAAACTTACCAAGAGTGGTGCCATATAGAGGATGATCCATATATAAATTACACATACAAACCTCGCCCCAGCTACTGAGGAGAGTGGTAAAGCTGGCCTCTTGATACTTAACATTCAACTTGTGTGTCCTCCTCTGTGTCCCCGCCCTGTGTCACCCCCGGCAGGATGTTACACCACCAAAGAGCTGTTTCATCACTGCCCAGTTAACCCAACAGAGGTACTAATATATTACTGACTGCATGAGGCTTGATGTACGATGAGGCAACCCAGTCATTCATGTGCGGGCAGCTTCCTGTATATAACAATACGGGAGAGATAGGATATACATATATAACGTGTTGTCTGCCATGTCAAGTGTGTTTGTGGCCTTGATGATGTGTGGCCCTTGCTACATACGGCCCTATTAACGTGTGGCCTTGGTGAGGTGTGGCCCTTCAGACGTGTAGCCTTGGTGATATATGTCCCTGTTATCGTATGGGTCCTTAGAGTACAGTAAAGTACACCCTCGAGATGCCATTACCCTGTCTTGAGTAATAAATAACACCTTCACCGTGTGTGTGTGTGTTGGTCACTCGGTACGGTAAACCTTCCTTTTGGACTTGTCGCCTCACACCGTCGTCCAGGGAAACAAAAAAGAACCTCGGGAATGCTTGTTGTCCATACGTGGTGTCTGGGAGTCGTAGTGTCCATCAAGGAATCAAGAACGCGAAAACTAACAAAAATAATACCGATAGATCTTTTTTAAACCTGATATGTAAATCCCCCCAAAAAGTCTCATGAATAGTGTGTGTGCCTGCGTGTATATACAAACATACACACAGACTGACCTCCTCCTGAAAAAAAAACATACAATAAATTAATACACCCACAAGAAAAATAAATTAAATTGAAACACAAAAATCCCAATACACCTCCAGACACAAATTACAAAACAGGAAATACAAATGAAAGTCACACATTATTACACACAAAAACTCCCCCTCACCATTTACCCTTGAGAGGCGTTCCACTTAGTAATGTACGTCTGTGCTCTCGAACTAATTACTCCTTCAAGAACAGGTGGTAGACTGTTATGGAGAAGATTTCGTCAACAGCAACTTTCAAGCAGGACCTAAATACCTGGTTGTGTCCTTGAACGAGAGGGGTGGAATCCATCCTAATGGCGGATATGTCGTGTCAGGGAGCGGCTGTGTGGATACTGTAAGAATATACCTGTAGTTGTTTCGCTTGTTTTTTCTTGTTTATTTGTTTTTTTCTTTTTGTTTATTTCGTTCCTTTTCGTTTGATGTTTTTTGTTTGAAGTTCTTGTGTGTTGGTTCGTTTCGTTTTGTTTATTTCTCCTCGTTTTATTTCTCTAATCTCTAATCGCTCTCGCTCTGTCTCTCTCGCTCTCTCTCTCTCTCGCTCTCGCTCTCTCTCTCTCGCTCTCTCTCTCTTCATTTGTTTCCTACTCTGTTATTCTTGTATTTAACTGTACACACCGTCCCTTCCTCCACCACCCCTCCCCCACACCACTCCTCCCCCACCTCCCCTCCTACACCACTCCTCCCCCACACCACCTCTCCCCCACACCACTCCTTCCACACTATAGACCTAGTAGTGTTGATACCCACTACCCACGATGCTCTGTGGGTCTGGAAATATGTCAGTATGTGATAGCCACCAACACTTCCTCCCACACGACCTCTGCCACCCGTCCAGCCTCAGTTGCTTCACAAGGTCACCCGGGACGTCGAAGCAGATATAAGACCTGCAGCTTCACCCGTTGTTTTTACTCTCTCACTCTCAGGATCAGACGCAGCATCTGCCAGCAACATCATGCGTTCTTTAGTAAGTAGTGGTGATGTTACCTCCATACTCCCCGCTAACTATAGTGAGGTACTGTAGCGCTGTGTCTCATTGTTGTCGTAAGTGAAGTGTTAACACCTAAGAAGTGAACCTGTCTTGTTTGTTTATAGTTCTGGAATACAAACTGCTGCTGCGCATTTACTTTGTGGTTTATTACTGAGCATTTAAGTGGACAGTGCTAAAGAATTAGAATAAATGAATTAAATTTGTCAAGTGTCTATGTGTGTATGAAGAGTCGTAGAGGCATATGAAGAGGCATGCAGAGGAAGATGTCAGTTGTGTACAAGATGCGCTAAACAAGTGTTGGTGAGAAATGCCACAAGACAAATGCCACGGGATGAGAATGAAGATAAATGTCACTGAAAACGATAAGAATAAACAATGAATGATTTAAGAGAGAACTGGCTAATACAAAGTGATAGTTATTTAATTGTGTGATGTGGTTAAGGATTGATTGATTGACTAACCCATCACACACAACAGACTCTTTAGTGAAATTCAGATAATTGTTTAGTGTTTTAACGTCATGTGGTTAATTCTGTGGTGAAAGTGATTGTTACATGAAGAACTTACCCCATTGCCTTTATTAACCTTTACTTATCCTATATCAAGTTAGGTTAGGTTGGGATGAAATGGTTCGTAGTTGTTGACTGTTGACAGGGGGAGTAAGAGCACCAAGTAAACAATGCATAAATAAACAGAAGATAATTGCAGGGGAAGACATAGCTGGAATAAATGACTGAGGTGAAAATTTTGACACGGAAGAAGTGGGTAGAAAATGAGATTGATAATAATGAACGGGGGTGGAGCTAATAAACAGAGATATCAAAGTCCAGATCACATAACATGAGAAATGTGGATATGATTTTCAATTTGATGTTTATGTTATGATAATTTCCGAGTAGTAAGAGTCAATGAGAACTAGAGTTAATAAGGTTGGGAGTTATACTATGTGAGAGAGAGAGAGAGACTCCAGAAATCGGCTCGTCTTGTGATGACTGGTAGGACGTGACAGGACTGTGATCGTGTGAGAAATATAATATAATTCCTGATAGATAGTTTAGACAGCTTTCTCTCCCTGTGTAAATATTGAAAGACAAACGTTTTGGTGATGACTAAACTCTGTGCTGATACAGGCATACTCTGCTGATGGAATAAATGATGTGTGGGGGGGGGGGATAACTTCAGTGTTAGTGTGTGTTGCAGAAGACAGATAGGATCACGTTAAGTATCGTATAGAATAATGTAACACGATGATCAGATATTTGGCCTGTACGGTAACTAAGTATTCTTCCAGGTGGTGTTAAGTGTGGTGGTGGGGGTCGCCTTCGGTCAAATATATCCTCGGGACACACCAGAGGTTGCAGAGGCACGTCAGCGCTTCATCGAGGAGTACAACCGCCTGGCGATACTGGCGGCCGAGGCACCTGACATCCATATCTACCACGAGCAGCCCCGTTCTCAGCTGGTGACTGACACCCTCCCTCGCGAAAGAGTTGACACCCTCCGTGGAGTGGTAACTGATTCTCGCCGTCAGCAGCAAGCCTTCGCCCCTCGCCCCATCCAGCCTCCCGTCTTCAACAGCTTCTCCTACACAGTTGACCTCGGCTCGGGCAAGGAGTTCAATCCAAGCCCCAATACTTTCCCCACCATCGTCGGTCACCCCACCACACACCCAAGTTCTACTCCTCAACGTGCAACTCACCGCTTCGCCCCCGTCCGTGCCCCTACCTTCGCCCCCGTCCGTGCCCCTACCTTCGCCCCCGTCCGTGCCCCTACCTTCGCCCCCGTCCGTGCCCCTACCTTTAACCTTAACCGCGCCTCTACCTATAACCCTGACCCCGCCCCCACGCCGCGCTGGAAGGGACCACTAGCGGACACCGAGCCCGCAGGTATACACGGCCAGGTGCAGGACACCCACGACGTAGCCACCATGAAGGCCACCCACTTCCGTGCTGTTGCCGACGCCCTGCAGGCCCAGGGCCATAACATTAGAGCATAAGTGTGGGAACTATCTGTGGCGCCGTCACCAGGAAGGGGTGGGCTCTCAATCACCAAATAGGGAGACACGCGCAGTCACCAGCTGGAGAGGTGTGCACAGTCACCAGATGGAGAGGCGTGCGCAACACCAGCTGGAGAGGCGTGTGCAGTCACCAGCTGGAGAGGCGTGCGCAGTCACCAGCTGGAGAGGCGTGCGCAGTCACCAGCTGGAGAGGCGTGCGCAGTCACCAGCTGGAGAGGCGTGCGCAGTCACCAGCTGGAGAGGCGTGCGCAGTCACCAGATGGAGAGGCGTGCGCAGTCACCAGATGGCGAGGCGTGCGCAGTCACCAGCTGGAGAGGCGTGCGCAGTCACCAACGGGAGAGGCGTGCGCAATCACCAGCGGGAGAGGCGTGCGCAGTCACCAGATGAAGACGCATGCGCAGGCCTTTACACTATGTATAAGATGACCTTGCTGCTGCTCCTGAACTAATAATGTATTTTAAACGTATAATATATTCACGTGTTTTATATAACTTGTTTTTCATTAATCCTCTAATGTGACGAGAATTCCAGATTACCTCCCGAGAGAATATTCTGGTCAGCAAGTAAAACGGCGGAAATCTGTCTCGTTAGAACGGTCTCTCGTTTTGTTGAGTAAGATAAATCTAACAGGAAGGTGGTAGTGAGTGGTGGCTCCCTGCATCACCACCACTGTTGCAACACGCCAGCTGAGGAGTGACCTAATAATATCCTGGAGTTAAATGGAAAAAAAAAAAACACTTTCTGGTACTCCTGAAACCTCTTAACCAGACACCAAGCCACTCGCCACAAGCTCTCCACAAGTCTTTCATCTCATTCTCCTTCCCTCCCTCCTCCCTCCTCCTCCTCTTCTTCTAGCCCCTCCTCCTCCCTCCTCTCCTTCCCCATCAACCACCCCCTCCCTCACCCCTCCCTCAAGTCCCTCTCTCCCACCTTAACTCTTGCTGGTGTTTGACCTCATGCCTGCACACAATACCCCTCGTCTCCCACCTTCCCTCTCCTCCTCACCTCCTCCCCACCTCCCTCCCCACCTTCCTCCCTCACCTCCCTCCTCAACACCCTCCCTCCCTCACCCACCCTCCTCAACCTCACCTTCACCCTCCCTCCCCACCCACCCTCCCCACTCTCCCACTGCAGGCCTCCCACAAGCACTCCACTTTTGTATATCACTCTTCTCTCATACACCCTCCCTTCTTCTCGATCTCCTCTTCCCTCCTCCCTTCCTCCCCCATTCCATGTAACCCCACAGTCAATACCACAAGCACTGACTATTCTTTCCTTTATACCCCCTATTTCTTCTCCATCTCCTTACCGTCTCCCTCCTTCTTCCATCTTATCTCTCTTCCTCCTCTTGGTACTTCCGTCTTCCTCCAGCTCTTTCTTCTTTGCTCTCCCTTCCTTCCTTTCTTTCTCTCCCCTCTTCTTTCTTTCCCCCATCTTTATGCATAATCTCCTCTTCTTATTCACCATTTCTTCTTTTTCATATTTTCCTCTCTCTTCTTTTCCCTCCTCTCTCCCTTCCTCCTCCTCTATTCCTCCAATCTTTTTTCCTCCTCCTTCTTATATATTCCTCGTCTTCCTTCCCTATTCCTCCTTTTCATTCCTTGTTTCACCTTCTCTCCTCTTTCTCTTCCTCCTTTCCATTCTCTCTCAATTTATCGTATCTCTTTCCTCTCTTCGGCATTTCCTCCTCTTATCCGATCTCTTTTTCCTCATTCTCTCCGTCCCTCTCCTGTTCCCTTCCTTATTTCCTTCCTCTTGCTTTCCTTTTACTTCTTCCCTCTTTTTCTTCCCTCATCCCCTTTCCTCCCCTTTTGACCTTTCTCCTTACTCTTGATTTATGTCATCATCATCATCTTCTCTTATTCTTTCCTCCTCTTCCTCCTTTCCCTTTCATCATCTTTCTTCATGCCTCTTCTACTTTCTCCACTTAACCCCATTCCTCCTCCTCCTACTCCTCCTCCTTCCTCTCTCTCTCTCCCTTCCATTCCTCTTCCTCCCCCTCTTTACCTTCCTCTTCCCCCTCCTTTCTCTCTTCCAGTTGTCTGTTCTCCCCCTTAACACCTGTCATTAGGGCACACCTGTGAGTAATGAGACGACCTGGAGGGGGGGAACGGGTATTCTCTCTCTCTCTCTCTCTCTCAAGTGAATGAACTAGAAGGGATAGACTGGATAAAGATGAAGACAAAGTAAACAACAAACAGTAAACCAGTATCGAATCTTTTGGTTTACACGAGGGTTTATTTACACTGGTTCACTGGGTTCACGGGTATAGATACATAATTAACGAGCCGATCTTAATACAGGAAATGGCTTCAATATAAAACGTTGGAAGGACTAACTGAGGCTTCAGAACCCGGCGATGAACGCTCAGAACATAATACACACACACATGTACATATACACACAAGCACACATCCATTCAGATATGTACACACACACACACACACACACACACACATATACACACATACACACACACACATACACACACACACACACACACACACACACACACACATATATTACAAAAAGATCATCGTGGGAGCTTTGAAATCTACCTTTTAACTTCTCTTCCAGGTGTGCGTTTGGCTGTGACATTCAGTTCCAATACACTTTTCCATTTTCTGTGATATTCAATAAAAAACTAAAACATCTTTCTGAGGCAACAGCTGTCTTTACTTAAGGTTCAAAGTCTCTACCACACGTGTTAGGTTACCTTAAGATTAGTGTCCTTAATTTATTTTATCTGAAGATTAATCCCCCTGACGTTACCTGGGGAGAGGCTTAGGTTAGGTTAGGTTAGAATGGTTAATTATAAGGCGAAATATACTGAAGTGTCTCATATTCAGGTGATCATATATGTTTTATAAGAATAAAGTCCCAGGTGTACTGTTGTCAGGGGAGAATATAGTGTCAAAGGTACTATTGTCAGGGGAGAATATGGTTTAATTTGGGCGTTGTTTGTGGCGATTAGCGAGACAACAGGGAGACGAGAGAATACGTCAGGCTTTCTCCTTTACACCCTCGACCCTGTTATTGCATGAGAACACTTGAGATAGATTATATCAGACAACGAGTACAGTATATCTCGCGGTTTGACGACGCTGTTGTACCGATCTGTGCCTTTGAGTCGCGCTGCTGCTTTGAAATACCACCTTCTCAGGCACGACACACTGAGCGCCCCGGTTTCTTGTCTTTTAGTACTGCGGAAGTTTTGTCGTTACTGTGGTATGCAAAATGGTCTTCAGCTTCAGCGTTGACAGCAGTAAGAACGACGGAGGCTTCGTAGGCTCTCCCTAATACTCTCTCTCTCACGGCTTGGTAGACTGTCCCACACATCCACACACAGAAAGCGTTGGCGAGTTATTCCAGCATCCAGTTTAAACTCTTTACTGACTTATATTATTCTGAAATAATTACAGCGTTTATTAAAGATGATGAGTCATGTATTTTCCGAACTGACAGATTTTTCAACAGAGTATTATTATTAAACAGCAGCAAATGTCGTGTTGTCAAAGACTTTTAGAGTAATATTTTTCTACAGCTGGGAACAACAAAAATATATATATTGTTGTTAAGATAGAGTTTCAGTGTTGTTCTACAGGCATATTAACTTCTATCTATGTGACAAGAGTAAGTTAACCAGGAAAATACATCTCTCATATAAACAACTACGGGATAGAAAGTAAAACTACGAGTGTTTGAGAATCGGAGCCAAATATTCGTTAAATCATTCTTCATCTGGGGATAATTTCTCGTAAAATCTGACTCGTTCACGAATTTCCTCCGCAGGTATAATGACCCACCTGTTCACACCTGTTGCTGCTTTAAAGATGAATTGTTTGGCCGCCCTTGTGGCTATTTATTGAACCTGAGATAAATGACGTACATGAATTCCTAAAGTGTGTGTGACCGAAAACCAAATTCGTGTCATGATTTAAAATGATACATTGGCCATAGTCTAAAAACACACGTATATATTGTATCGTTTATATGAGTCTTATAGTTTAGTGTTGTGTAGATAATATAACTTATGTGTATAGTCGAGTATAATGTAATGAAGGGGATACATACATACATACATACACACACACACACACACACACACACACACACACACACACACACACACACATACATACTGTGGATGGTATGAGTTAGATCTGAGAGTTGAGTATTTTTTTTTTGTAAATGTTGCTTTGTTTAAGAGAAAGAAAAGAAAGAAACAAAGAAAAAAGAGAGAAATAAGATTCAACACAAGCAAATCAACCTCTCTCTCTCTCTCTCTCTCTCTCTCTCTCTCCTCTTTGCTATTGATTATCTCTCTTACCTTCTCTTTATTTCCTTCTCTTTCTTCGTCTTAAAACATCCCCTTCTATCTCTCTCTCTCTCTCTCTCTCTCCCCCCCTTTCATTTATCTCACTCTCTCTACTCTCATTTCTTTATCCCTTTTCTTCTACCTTTGTTAACATCTTTTTTCATCATATTTCACTTTTCCTAAATCATCAGTCGTTCTTCTCCTTGTCTGTGTTTCTTTGTCTTAACATTGTTATATATTTATTCTCATTTCTTATTGTGTTCTGTCTTTATCCACTACTTCCCCTCTCCCTCTGTCTCATTTCATAATCAGCATCCAAATTTATCCCATTTCCTCTCTTCCTTTGTGAGAGAGAGAGAGAGAGAGAGAGAGAGTCGAAAATAAATTAATCATAATATTTTCGAACAAATTTCGTCCTTCTCTCTCTCTCACCTCCTCCTACGTCCCCTCCCTCAATATGTTTTTTTCCTCTCCGCCCTCCCACATTTCCCTCAAGCTCTCCCTGGGAAAGAAAAAATGGGAGTAGTCGTTTACAAAATTCTCTTTGAAGTTAATGCAGCGGGCAGGACCGGGTGGCGTCATTTTCACAGTGCTGGGAAACAAGACGCCGGGAAACACACACATACAGACACGTTAAAACTATATAGCATTACCTTGCCAAAAATAGACACGTTAAAACTATAGCATTTTCTTGCCCAAAACACAGACATCAAACCAACACATAGATGTTAAAACTATAGCATTCTCTTGCCTCACACAGACGTTAAAACTCTTATAAACTTTCACTGAACAAAAGTGGTTGAGGGAACTGGTAAAACATTCTTAACTTAACTATAGTCAGAGCCCAAAAGTCACTGAAAATAATAGGTATCATTTTAAAATTGGTTAAACGTAATTGGAATTAACATAAATAGTCGTCCTAACACTGGGAAACGTTCACTAAAACTCGATCTAAAAGTTCCTTAACCTAACCTAAAACTCGATCCAAAAGTCCTTAATGTTAGAGTGTGTCCCTTAAGGCAGAGCACACAATAAATTAAGCTCATTTGGGGTGCACTAAGAGGCTTTTTGATTGGGGCTGTACTCCTCCCCCTCCCCTCTCCCCCTCCCTCTCCCCCTCCCTCCCTCCCTCCTCCTCCCCCTCCCCTCCTCCTCCTCCTCCCCCTCCTCCCT